AAGGACAACAGCGCGTGTTCGTTCCCCACTGCATACACCTGTGGTCCGGAGTTTTGCAAATATCTCAGCACTTCATACGGGTTACAAAACTGTTGCTTTTCGGGATAGGTATAGAAGAAAAACAAAGCTCCTAAACAATAAGTCAAACGAAAATAAGGTCCTATAAATCCCACCTTTCCTTACCAACGAAATAAATGCGGCTATAAAAGGTTTTTTAAGAAAGGCCAGTTTAGAGAATTCGGTGACAGTGAACTAAATACCACCGGGCACTCTAAGACCCAGCTACCCCCTAACCGCATGTAGACCGTCTATGTATAACTCAAAATTGCATAATTTGCTCTAATGGTAGAGACGGCGCTTGTATGATTTTGAGCAGTTTATCAGATCTGTTGTAAAGCATGCGGGAAGGAACACATTGACGAAACGGGAAGACCACTCTGCGGCCGTATTAATGAACAATTAGTCAATAAACTTAAACATACGTCAAAAACTCCATTAGGCGCGCATAGGACACAGAGACATAATTTTTAAATAGAATGCTAACTTTTTATTTGTTTCCTATTACAACTTTTTTCACCACCACACCATGCAGGTCCTTCGTTTCGCCCGCCTCTCAGTTAGTTTTCTATCGATCAGTGCCAACAGCAATGGCCGACAACGGAATTGATCTAGGAGCCCAAATTGGTATTGAACCCAGTTAAGCTGCGGCTTTAGTTGAAATCACGATGTTAACTTTTTACTTGCTCTCTCTCTCACAATCTTTCACTGCAGTTATGTTAAATACAATCGTAATGATTTTGAGCAATTTTAAACCTAACAATTTTTTTCGTGATTTACCCAGGCTCAATATACTGCTAGAGCCGATGTTCCATGAAACCTTGACTGTATCAAAAGTGGATACGATGCTTGGAACAATTTTTCAGGATTTTACGTTGTGGCATAACCGTGCTAAGGCGGTCCCATGCCTTGTAGGCCGGTGTATGCTTCTCAAGCAAGGCTAGTACCAATTTCCAGATCCCAGAAGGATAAGAGTCATCGTCAAAGAGGTCGAGGTGGACCCAGGGCCTTGTGCCAACTTGACGGCATCTCTATCGTTGAGTTGCTCCTATTCAACAGTAAATTGGGAAGGTTGAAAATACAGGTTCGCAAATGATCAATGTTGTCATCCATATTCGAGAATTCTGCTTTTTTTCAATACTATTGCCTTTAATATCACTTTTTGTGCGGTCTTGAAGCTTCTACGGACATTCCTATATTATGCAGCTTCTTTGAATATTTAGAATTTGAAATTACTGCTAGACTTCTTCACTGCCTTCCAGTTCTAATAATTTCATATAACTACACTTATTTTCTGCTTTTCTGCTTGCTAATGCCTTGGCCAGCCTTTACTAATGGGTTTCGATTAGGCAGTATATTGCATGTAAAATTTCCTCCCAACTTCTTATTTGGTTGTTTTAGAATCGGTTTAAAATGGTTATCTTTTTGGCATCCGTCGAGAGGTAAATAGATTACCACCGTGAAACTGGGTTAAAGCAAATACTCCACTGGGTGCGCTCAGGACACAGAGACATGACAGAGAAGATTGTGAAGTATAAGTTGCCATCTTCGCTTAATAATCGAAAACTGCAGCGCCCAAACTCTCGAAACATTCTAGATAAATTCCAAGAATTTAAAAATCAAGCGCAGGGAAGATTGCCTCATTATCACGCGAGATTTCACTCAACACCTCAGACTGATGTTTCAACGTCAGAGATGCGCATTACCCGCGCAAGTGAACTCTATGCGGTTACTCTACTTTTGGGATGCTGATTGGAAGACTCATGTAAAGCAGTGAATTTGCGAAGAAGCTCTTTTTTCATCCAACAAAAACTCGGACAATAAGGTTTTTCGGTGGCGGTTATGGAGGTATTTGACTGACTACATTGCAGTCAGCTCGACCTTCCCAGTGCTTGAAGAAGGCGAAATCTACAGAAACCGCAGGTTTTGTGAATGAAAAGTGTAGTAACAACCCTGTGTTTGCTTATCAAGAAAAGAAGTACAGCTGGAGATTTAATAGACCATTCGCCTTCATACGAAGCTCGTTGCGTTTTAAATGAATTTAATTATCAAAGGTGACCCGAGAGATGACAATACGTTGTGAATTCCGCATTACGATTTCTGTACTTAACCCTTAGGTTGAGTGTAAGGATTAGCGAAAGAGAAAGCAAACTAATGTCTATTAATTACCAGATATTACGTTGAATGACAAAGAAGGAGGAGCTCTGTAACCTCTGGCTATTGAATTGCATCCATTTTCCTACGTGCGCTTCAGGTCGACCCATGTGTGGACTTCTTTGAATTCACTTGTGGGAACTGGAAAGCCAGGCACCCAATTCCAAGTTATAGGTCCAGCTACTCTCAATTTAGCGTTCTCCACGACAAAGTTCAAGCAAAAATGAGAGGTGGTAATTACAGTTTATAAAATGACTGTGCTTATACAGTGTGCAGATTTGTTCAAAAAAATGCTTCCAATGAAGTTTTTGAGGTGAATTGACCTAACTGGAGTTCAGACACTCCGCTATCATGCTTGTATTGATTGTAACAAACATCTTTCAAAAATCTTCGAATCAGAAGAGGTGTTCCGGTCGAAATCTGTAACTGCCCTAAAGTTGATGTATCGCAGATGCATGGACCAGCACGAGCTTAACCGAATTGGTGCAAGAAAATTGATAGAGTCAATAAGGGTGAGCCATTTTTGGTGTACCTCCACTGTGTGGAAGAGATAGAACAGTAAGCCATTTATTTCGACTAGCCAAATGCAACTAAGGAAATAATAATCCACTCCTGTCGACGGACGGTTGGTGAACTAGCCGGTAGAAAGGCCAAGTAAGTGCCTGAGTGGGATAGTGAATAGTAACACAAGAACCCTCGGAAAGGGTAGTTAGCGGGTTCGAAGCTCACCTGGTGTTCCGAGCTTTGCTCATATCTCAACATCATTGTAGTTTTATTCGCATTATTCCTCGCTGTAAAGAAAATATTACATACCTACTTGGATGGTCTGTGCTCACTAGTTGTGCGAGCCTCAGCTTAATTTCCACTTTTTCGGAGTTTACTGGTCTAGTCATTGTGGTCTCCTGGAATTCCGGGGTCAGCCTAGCCAAAGTCTGAACCAGCTCATCACCACCATAGGCACTCGCCGACCTTGTGGATCAGAGTGAGATTTGCCACAATGCAATTACTTTGATACCATGACGGTGGTGGATCCTGGTGCTGGTTTAGTCTTAGCTGGGCTTTCTAAAAGGAACGCCGAACTCCTCAGTTTGAAGGATCCTGCTGGGGAGATGAATTCCTATCTTGGACANTTTTTGAGGTAAATTGACCTAACTGGAGTTCAGACACTCCGCTATCAAGCTTGTATTGATTGTAACAAACATCTTTCAGAAATCTTCGAATCAGAAGAGGTGTTCCCGTCGAAATCTGTAACTGCCCTAAAGTTGATGTATCGCAGATGCATGGACCAGCACGAGCTTAACCGAATTGGTGCAAGAAAATTGATAGAGTCAATAAGGGTGAGCCATTTTTGGTGTGCCTCCACTATGTGGAAGAGGTAGAACACTAAGCCATTTATTTCGACTAGCCAAATGCAACTAAGGAAATAATAATCCACTCCCGTCGACGGACGGTTGGTGAACTAGCCGGGAGAAAGGCCAAGTAAGTGCCTGAGTGGGATAGTGAATAGTACCACAAGAACCCTCGGAAAGGGTAGTTAGCGGGTTCGAAGCTCACCTGGTATTCCGAGCTTTGCTCATATCTCAACATCATTGTAGTTTTATTCGCATTATTCCTCGCTGTAAAGAAAATATTACATACCTCCTTGGATGGTCTGTGCTCACTAGTTGTGCGAGCCTCAGCTTAATTTCCACTTTTTCGGAGTTTACTGGTTTAGTCATTGTGGTCTCCTGGAATTCCGGGGTCAGCCTAGCCAAAGTCTGAACCAGCTCATCACCACCATAGGCACTTGCCGACCTTGTGGATCAGAGTGAGATTTGTCACAATGCAATTAGTTTGATACCATGATGGTGGTGGATCCTGGTGCTGGTTTAATCTTAGCTGGGCTTTCTAAAGGAAACGCCGAACTCCTCAGTTTGAAGGATCCTGTTGGGGAGATGAATTCCTATCTTGGACATCGCAGCCCTACACCCAGGAACACCCTTTCTCTGCTATAATGGAGCAATAAACCGTTGAGAGAAAAAAAATACTAAGCAATAAATAAAAGTTAAATGCAAAGAAATAATAAGTGGGCACGCAACATTTTACAAACTTGCTTTTAGCATTCCTTAGCGAATCGTTTTCGGTATATATCAATGCAATATCAGTCAGTAGGCAAGTAACAGATTTAGCAAGATTTTTATACCTGAGGTATAACGTTTGCTGACGATACAGAACTTTGGGGGTGGCCGATGTTGGAGGGAAACAATTGGCGTGCTGATCAATTTGATTTGACAACACTTTTTATCAACATCGCAGCGGTCAGAGGAGTCCATATTTTTATAGACAACTACATCACGATCGACAACAGAAACGTTTCCCGGAGATTGGTAGAGGTAAAGAATAGGTTATCTCTCCAGCTTTTCGCAAATAGCTTTATAAGCTATTGAAGAACTTGAATAATTTTTCGTATTTTTGTTGAGCAAACGCGAGATGTTATTATTCTTTATTCATGAATAAGCTGACGTTTTGGCGGATTTCGCCTTCCTCAGAAATCACATGGAAACACAATGTGCGGTTGGTCTTCACGCGACATACTTAGTGGGAACCTCATAGAAAGCGGTGAGTGTGCAAAGCTGTGTTCAATGTGATTGAAATCTTGGTTTAGAGTTTCTTTGTTTGGTTGTGGAGGCGTCTGGCCTGGTGGATTGCTATCAACTTGACCTTCCCAGGCTCTGAGGAAGGCGAAATCCGCCGAAACGTCAGCTTATTCGTGAATAAAGAATAATAAAACCTCGCGTTTGCTCAACAAAAATGCGAAGAATTACTTGATCAATGCCGAGGTTAATAGAATGTTGGTCGTGGGAGTTACTGCGACTTGAATAATGTTAACACAATTCACTGTTTACCACACAAGTTGTAGTCCTACAGCAAAAAAGTTGATTTCTAGTAACCGAAGTCATGTTTTACATAAAGTTGTCCTTTTTTAGTTCGATCAGGGAGAACTTGGGTTAGGTGCTTCCACGCGTGAGTACTATTTGGACAGAGAAAAGTATGGGAAAAAATCGCTGCCTACAGACAGTACCTCATCAACAACGTTAGTTCTCAAATTCTTTTTACATAAATGACAGTTTTTCTTTGGAAGAAATAGAAATTAAAAGGCTTGATTTCCGCGTTAAGAAAAAAACTTAGAAAATTGATTATTTAAGGTTAAACTATTTCATGAAGACGTCGGTCTTCCTGTAAATGGAAGTAAAATTGCAAACGATGTGGATGAGATCATCGATCTCGAAACCAAGATGGCGCAAATCCTCGTGGCAGAGAAGGATCGAAGAAACTACACCAAAATGTACAATCTGAGGCATCTCAGTGAACTGCAAACACTTATGCCTTTGGTGGGAATTTCGATTGTCAGAGGTACACAGAGGGATGAAAAAATTTACTTCGAAAGTATGTTCTCCGTCCAATTTTCCTGCCATTACTTTTTCTCTTTTAAACAATGTTCTTCCTTTCAAATGAGTGCTACGTTTAACTATAGAAGTTCATAATCGCTTCTTCCAGTTCTTACTTTAGTACGAAATTTCTCTAATCTGCTCCGAATATCTTAAGGACCGAAGGAATTCAGTATATTTCAGATAGTGATATTTATTAACTAATATAGGAACGAACAGAGTTTCTATAACTGGCGTTGTCAATCAGAAACAAGTTTGAATATTTTTTGTGGTTGTGATTGTTTTTTTAAAACCTATAAAATCCAAAAAAAAACAAAAAAAACAGAGCAAAGTCGCTTCCAGAAGTCTGTGCAATTGTCACAACCTCAACTCCTCTAGTGATCAGTAACTTACTATCCAGTTTTTTATTTGTTGAGCTTACACGAGCTTGATAAATTTGTTTATTTCGGCTAACGTTTCGACGTCTTTGTCTTCATCAAGGCCGATGATCCGTGTCGGTGGTTCACAGTTGTTCGTTATCTGGATTTGGCGACTTTGTTGTTGTACCGAGACCGGATCTTCTTCAATGAACACCGTACGAATGAGCCATGCACACCCGGCTGTATCCTTTTATAGAAAGGGGTTGTTACTGACATGACCACCTGTTGATAATAGTCTGTTTTTCAACGGATAATCCACTCTGTAGCAGTCGATATTACGTTAGCTAGCACAAAGCAAGTAACAAAACGATTTTCAAACCGATCGTCACCTCGGTAGGAAATTATTAGTCAGTGTCAAAAATCAGCTCCTTTCCGAATGTTAACACATTAGCATTGATGCCTAACTCCGTGTTGCCGACGCATCTACCTGATACCTGATTTTCTGGCACGCATGCTGTGAGTGGATGTCAACTCACACCGGTCTTTACGTACCACCTGGCAAATGGTTCACCTCTTTTCGATCCACTTTTCTCGCCATGATTTCGTTCTCCTGTGTAATTCGCAAATATTTCTGGCGATTCCTCTTTCGCTTACTCTCTAGGTAGTTCTGTGTATTTTCCAGTGATTTCTAAACATTTCGGACTGCTTCATGTGGCAAAAAAGTCGCTCACTGTATAACAACTGCAGCCTTCAGTGTTTGGCAGTTGCGTGTAGAAACTTTATGTGGGCGTTTTTATATATTCCCGTTCCATAATATGGCTATGACCAATCATAGTTGTAAGAAGCATAATAACGATCAATTAATGAACAAAAATTACTTGTACATACTTAACTCATATTAGAAGCTATAGGTCCTTCGGAAACTCTATTATTTTTCGATCAGCGATGCACTCGAGAGGTTGTGATCATGGGGAAAGTATAGAACAAATTTTGCTCTATCGCTCTCATAGTAAGTATGGTATTCTTAAAATGTCGTCCTCACCGTTAAGTTTTTTGGAGTCTACGTCTTCAAGAGGTGAAAAATGAGGGCAAAATTTCCGTCTTAAAAGCGAGCCCAACAGCAGCAAACATTAACGACGCTTTGTACACCACTATAGTGTCCTACAGACCTAGTTTTAAGCGATATACACTGGATAAGCTATCGATTGAACATAAAAGGTACAAAAACCTTTATACAACAAGATAAACAGCTGCAAGGAAACTAGTTGGATATCAACTCACTTTGGCCATTGCACGACCAATGAACGAATGGAAATCCATTCATATCGGCCTTCATAGTTGAAGAATGAACAGGAGCATTTATCAACCACGGCATGTAACAGAAGTGTATTATTTAAAGTTTGGAATTGCGGCAATTAAAGCTAATAAAGTGGCAGTGCTTGCAGGTTGACTGGTACAGATATTTCCGTACTGTTGCTCCAGCTTTCATCAACGACTATCTAGCTGGTAACCCGAAAATGCTCATAATAGAAATCGACTACATGAGAAGGTGCTAGCGATTGTGGAAAGTCGTTTCAGTACCTAGCATTCGCAAGTGGGTTTTAGAGTCAACCGTCTGATCAGCTCGACTGATCCGAGGATTATCACAAACTATGCATACCTTCGGTACACCCTCAGTTGGAGCGGCGAGCTCGGCATGCGATATGAGGTCATCTACCAGGTTCACAAAAATTCAATTGCCAATTTTGCCTGCGAACACCTTTTGCTTACGAAAAATTCTGTGGTGTAGAACTATTCGAATCTATGAAATAAAACCACAATGCGTTCTGTGTTTTTTTTTATCATAAGCGATTCATATCTTCTGGCATACTAAACCATTTGTTTGAGCGAATGTGAAGTCGCTGTTGCTTCATTGTCGAAAATTACCTTGTTCAAAAATATGCTGTTATGTAGGCAAATATTTTGTCAAGCAAGATAACACTCGAAAGTTTCTTTATCGTAAAAACCTTATGTAAGCAAATCTGTTTTAAGAAGTTCTATTACGTCATGTATGGGCAAAAAAAGAAGGCACCTCGGTGGGTAGACTGCACCAGCACGACTACGTACCAAATGCAATACGCTGCTGGTGCGCTCTACGTTAGGAAAGCATTCAATGAGGTTCATCATTAAAATTCATTAATTTTTTAATTCATGCGCAGTTTTCTACCTCATCACAATGTGTTATCTTTTTAACGAACATTCTTTAGATTCTTTCTGTACATGTGAACCTTAGCAGTGATGGGATAATGAACGGATCTTTGTAAGACAGAGACATTCTTTTCCAAATGGGCCACTAAAAAGGGTCCACCAACATATTCACTCTTTAAATCCAAATTTCTTGCAATGCAAAACTCAGCAATTCGCAGACGTCAAAAAACATGATGCTGGAGATGATAGCCGATCTGCAAGACGCATTTGACAACATGTTGGCTGAGAGCGACTGGATGGATGAGACTACGAAGGCGGTGAGCGGAAAATTCTTTAGAATAGAGGCTATTGAAATTAGTGCAGAAATTTTCAGAGGGCAGTCTATAAGGCAAAACACATGCTCCGACATGTCGGCTATCCAGATTTCATTCTCGACGATGAGAAGCTGGACGACTATTATAGTGGAGTGAGTAGTACTGAATGATTCTGCACAAAAGAAACACTCTAGGAACTTCCACTTATTCTTTCGAATACTTTAAGAAATGAGCTATTTCTTGGATAATCAGAAACTGCGAAAAGAAGGAAAGCAAGGGGAGTCGAGCAAACAATGTAAAGAGGTTCCTGGCAAATTTAAAATGTTTTGTCACGGTTAATTTCTTAGTATTAGCAAGTCCTTAATCTACTCGATATATGATTAAGCATGAAAAGGAGGTTATTTCTTAATGTACGTTTTAAAACACATTCTTGCGCTTTTTATTTACTGCCTAATTTTTAACGGCAGGGCATCATGTGAAATACAACGAAGATAATGATGAGATATTGGCAAAACTCCGGAATACAGGCGTCTGCGGTGGGAAACGAACGCGCTATTGTCCTTTCCGGGGAGTAATGCGTTCACCGCCACACCATAGAACTAACTGAGAGACAGGCGAAACGAAGGACCCGCATGGTATGGTGGTGGACGCGTTACTCCCCAGAAAGGACACTAGCGCGTTTGTTCCCCACCGCAGACGCCTGCATTCCGGAGTTTTGCCAACATCTCAACATTATCTTAGTTAAAGCACGTTTTTAAAATGGTAGGCCTAACATTCAAAACCTTCCAGAGGGAGCCATTGTTAATTCGTATACTTCCTTTTGATCAGGCTAAGTTTTAGTAGTAAGACAATGTGTGTCAAGCAACGACACAGCTTGGAATAGATTCCCTCGTAAGGAATTCTGAGCTCAAAAGGAGAAGAATGTTGCCACTGAGAAGCCCAGCATAAGGTATGCTGATTCGAAGTTGGAGCCTAGTGAGCTTGAGTGGCTGTAATCCCACCAGAAGGAACAAAAACAAAAGATCACGTGATATTGGTGTTTCCCTGGAGAGTGGGAGTAAGACTTGAGCGGAAGCCATTTGCAATTATGGTTTTGAATTTCGTTAAGGATTTGATTGGGTAGCCATTTCTAACTTAGTTGGGCTCTAAACTTTGTAAATGTTTTTGCATATTTAAAAGTTTCAGCTGTCCATAGAGGAATCGGATTCTTACAGTCAAAT